CTAGTTTTCCTTAGATAGAAATCTTAGAATCAATCTGACTGGATGATCTGGTGAACTGTAAAGTTCCTTGAGATGATGTGTTGTGAATTACTGCTACATAAATAGACTAAATTAAATTGAACACCAGCCCTATAGTGACAGTGTTAGAATTAAGTTCAGCAGTTAAAAACAAGCAATATGTTTTCTTAGAAAGCTATTGACGTAAAAATGACAAAGACACTTAGAGATGAAGCCTTTATAACATTTGTCCATCTCAATGCTGATGCAGTTGGTCAGTGAGAATTGTTGGCTTAGGAGCAACTTGACACAGGAATGAGACATCTGTAGAGTCCTAATGGCTCTTCATGTGCAAATTCCAGCCTCAGTCCATTACTTGCCAAGTTCCCACAATTCTTGAAGGGATCTTGTTGATGGGCCTTTTCCATAAGCTATAAGTATGCGTGCTTACAGAGTACTTCTTCAGTGGAGCAAGTCAGCAACCATCTTCCATTGCAGGTGCCTGTGTTCATGTTCATGTTCATCCAGGAGGAAAGAATCCTGAAGCCAATTACTTGATGCTACAAGCTGGGTTTCCCCCGATGCAAACCTTTTAAATCTGTCCGGATGATCTGAGTGAACGGACCCCATAGAGAACTTTAAGAAGACGTGTTCTGCAGCGTTTAAAAGTTTCCATGATGGGTCCAAAGCAGGTCCTCCACTGGTAACCAACAGGTCTGTGGGAGGTAATGTAATCCCCAGCGATGACGTCGTCATTAAGGCCTCACCACTAAGCTGCCTGAGAGTAAACTTGAAACACAGGGTGTTTCAATAAGTGGGTGGAGTTACAGTAAACATAGACAGCGGCTGGACTTTGGAGGGAACTTGGCTGGAAACGGGAGAACGTTCGACTGGCTTTCAGCCTGAAGGGAAACTTTTAAACCGCAACCTCTGTGTGTTTCAACTAAAGTGGCTTGCCTTCAAATCCAGGCAATCCCTCACACTTCATACAAGTGTGAGGGATTGCCATCAAGTCAACGAGTCGATGCAATCAACCGGTTTTCCTTAGATATTAAATTTTGAAACAATTTAACTGTATGATTTGGTGAACTGTAAAGAGCCTTGAAATGACATGTGTTGTGAATTGGCACTATAGAAATAAACTGAATTGAATTGGTTTGGAGTCAGTTGGCTTATCAGCGGTAAAAAGCCATGAGTACCTTAAGAAATTGAATTTAATATATAAGTCTATAGGTGATAAACATATATAGTTTAATTTAATAATTGGGGACTAAATTAAATAGCTTTTCTATCTGTATAGAACAGGGGTGGGTATCATGCAACTTTTAGAAGTGCCTTTGGTTCAACACACCTAAAACAAGTAATTAGATGATTGAGAGAACTCTGGAGAAACTGACTGCATGCTGAGGAGGTAACCCAGTCACTTGATTCAGGTGTGTTGGACCAAGGAGGAACCAAAAGTTGCACGATACCGGGCCTCAGGAACTGAAATTGCCCACCTATATAGATCTGTATGTTGTAGATATAATCAACATCCCTGTCATCATGGTGCTTTACTCTTCACAAATAATCTGGGAGAATGATTTCAGCTCGAAAACTTTGAATGTAAGTTTCTTGCACATAAAGGCTGGATGTGCTCTCTTCATCCTCTGACATGGGAGCTGGCTCGGAGCTCATCTGCCTGGCCGTGTGTTTCCTGGATGGGGTCGCCTTTTACAGCTGCTTTTTGTATCTCTGCTTCTGTCTCCTTGAACCCCAGTCGGCCTCAGCAGATGGCCGCTCACACTGAGCCTGGTTCGGCTGGAGGTTTCTTCCTGTTAAAAGGGAGCTTTTCCTCTCCACTGTCGCTACAAGCATGCTTAGTGTGAGGGATTGTCTTTGAGTCAATAAGTTGATGCAATCAACTGGTTTTCCTTAAGATAGAAAAGTTTGAATCAATCCGACCGTGAACTGTAAAGTGCCTTGAGATGACATGTGTTGTGAATTGGTGCAATAGAAATAAACTGAATTGAACTGGTTGGTTCCATTAAAATGGAGCACTTTTAAAACTGAAGCTCTGTTGAGTTTAATTCATGCCGACTATCCAGGGAAGCATTTAAAGAGGTGCATGATGCATGGATGTTAATGTGATCTGTGACCACTGCAATGTCGCCTAGATTTTAGAAATCCAGGTACCCTGAAAATCCAGCTGACTCCTGATGGAGGACAGAATATAATCAACATTTGATCAAAGGGAGGCAGGCCTCATTGTTCAGATGAGCTGCTGTTGAACTGTGGACCTACCAGAACTGAAAGTGAGAGGCTAAATAAAAGCGAACAGACCGATTTCCTGCCAATTTCAGTTCTCTAAAGACCAAACTTTGAATCCAGCTGCTGTGGTGGAAACAGTGCCCCAACTTCCCTTCCCCTCAGAGTGAAAACAGTCAGGAAACCCTTGGAGAGCAGCAGGGCTCTGTTCTACAAACCCTTTGATTGAAATGTCCGAGGGGCAGTGAAGTGAATGAACAGTCAGCTGTTCCAGAAGGGCTAAAACACTCCAGGTCGCTGAGATCAAGAGGTAGAGACCAAAGTAGGGAACCTTTATGTACATATTCACACAGTGTTGCTGCAGGACATCATTAAAAACAATAACAAAAAGACAGCTCCTTGGATATATTTACATCTCTGCTGTACATACATTATTACTAGACTGAGGACTCTCCAGGTCAGTAAAGGATTTGTTTCACCAAATACTCCCTAATTACAGGACTTTAAAAAAATCTAAATATATATCCATTTACATTTGTAGATTTAAAAAATAAAATCAAAGCCTCTGAAATGTTCAGGCTGATATAGTTTCTATACAGTGGCGTCTTCTCTTTTGATTGTTGAGCAGATTTCCTTTTCTCTTTTCCATTCCCCGTGTGTACATAATTAGGCTTAGGATGATGAAAACATGCCAACGACCACGAAAACACAACGGGAAAAAAAAAGTATTACATACATATCATATGAGACTGTAGCTGCTGTGAGCTGGCGCCGTATAAATAAAGTGAATAAATTTTCAGTATTTCATTAACTTCAGTGTCTCTACGCTGAACCAGTAGGTTTGAGATCTTCTGGACGACCAGTGTAGGTCCTTAGGCAAGATCCTTCATGCTAATGACATTTTAACATTATGTCTAGCTTTTACACTGCAAAAACGGTCTTTAATGAAGTGAATTTACTCTTAATTTGAGCAGGTAAATGTTTGCAAATGGAATTAGTATTTTTACTCTTAGAATAAGATAATCAGATAAAATGCACTCTGTATCTAAGCAGTTGTTTTTTCTTCTTTTAAATGTAAATTATCTCGTTTCAATTGCAAAATGTCTCACTTACCTCCTCAATTTAAGAAAAAATGCACTTATATTTAGAAAAAAAAATGACTTATTTAGATTTAAAATTTTTTTTGCAGTGTAAGACTTTTTGGATAAAAGTGTCTCTAAATGCATAACAAAAATATCAGCCAGAAAACTAAGATCGGATTATACAGACTTCTGTTTGATTTCATGTATTGTTCAGAAATAAATGGGTTAGCTGTTCTCTTTTTAAGCAAGATTCCTCGATCAACAACGTTTAAAATATTCCACACTACAAAATAAGTGATGAAAGTATGTATGATTCATGCTGATATATGATTATAGGTCTGACTCTGTATCCGTCAATACTCAAAGCTGCAGTATTACTGCTGTATGGATAATTTAAACATTTTATGGGAACATCACTAGTAACTATAATCCCAGACTTTAATCGCATGTTTGGTGTTTAGATCAAAACTTGGCTTTATGGGTGAAAGATTTTTGAGAGAAAAAAAACAACAACTTTTTATTCAGGAAACTTTTATCCATTTGTAACTTGAAAATCTAATTTTTTTTTAACCAAAATTAAAAATAAAACCTTTGAAATATCAGAATTATGGATTTTCATCATCCGAGGCTGCATAGGAAGCCTAAAGGTCCAACCATGGAAGCCATAAAGATCAAATCACCAACATCTGGAGAAAGAATTGCTCAAAGGTCACCAGAACATGGAAAACCACTGAAGTCTGAGAAAAAAAACTCACTTTTTGAAAACCAGAGGAACTTGGTTCAAAAGTTCAAAACAAGGTCAGGAACCAGGAAACTAAATGGAGGTTGTCTCTAACTGGACCGTGCTTTAGAAGAGACAGGAACACAGCTGGCATGTAAGGAGCTATATTTCTTCTAAAGCAAGCAGAAAGTCCCCTGCCAGGAACAGGAACCAATCAGAGGCCGGAAATCAGCTGAGTTTTCAGCTGAGCACCATCCTCGTTGGTTCTTAGGGAAAAGTCAAACTTTGTTCTCCACTATTTGGGGACCTTTAAGGATAAATACTGCTTTAATTCAGAAAGAATCCACCTTTAACTCTATCTAATGTATTTAGGGCTCATTAGTGCAGTCTGTCACACCAGGGGGAAACTTTAAGAGGAGTGATGACAGACTGAACTGTTTCCAGAGTAAAAGAAAACAGCTTCAATCTGCAGAATCATGTAATAACATGAAGATTCTGATAAAACATGTTGACCCAGAGCATAACTGTCCCTTCTGGGCCCTCAGCTAGGGGGCACTCTTCAAAAAACCGGTGGATTGTTAGTTCAAGCCGTTTGCCACCAAAACCAAAATGCTTTGAATAAAGAGCTTGTAATGCAGTGGTTCTGACCCAACAAGGTTGTCCAGGTGACAGAGGCTCTATTAAAAGTGTGGCTACTGTAGCTTATGGTCTGGGTCCAGACTGAGAGCATCAGACACTTCATAACAAGATCTGAACCCAAAAGCACCAGAACCCTCAAACAAGCTAAAAGCTGCTGCACAGCTGATTACAGTGGTCCAACTAAGATCCAATCAGACCAACAATCTGATCCAGGGTCTGTGGAAAGTTGCTCTACACAAAACAAAACAAGGCTCCAGAACCAGGTCCAGTACTGGTCCACAAGCCCAGCAACATTTGCACCTCTGGAGAACAGTGATTCAGGAAGAAATGCTCAAAAATAAGATCAGAAAAAAAGAAACACACTAAGACTCCTAGAAACCAACAGAGCAGTTCTTGCTCCAACATAATCAGAACCTATGAATTTCTGAAGAGGAGAAAGTAACAGTAACAGGGAAGGTTGGATCTTTTAAGACACCTTCAATTAAAACCATTTGGAATATCAGACCTTAACATAAAGCCTGACCCCTGCTGAACAACGGGAAGGCCTGCTGAACACAGGGCCCGTCGGCTACCTCCTTTGGTCCTTCTGACCCCAGGCTCATAATCTTTGGTAAATTAAATAAAGTTAGGTGAGGAAAAAAAACAAACCAAAACAAATTTTAAAACCCTTCAAAAACAGGTTCTGGGAATCTATTGGTTCTTCAGACACAGTCAGAGCCGATTGTCTTCTTATGAAGCAGATGGGTCCTGAAGGACCCCCGTCAGAACAGGAAAACGCCAAACTGTTAAAGTCAACAAAGCAGTTCACAACAGGCAGAAATCTATGATTATAACCCATAGTTCTAAATAATTTAAAGTCTGATCAGTAGCTAACACATTAGTAGACCTCTTACTTCTCTTCTATCTCACTGCTGTCCCATCTTTTGTACATCAAACCTTTAAACTCCAAAAAAAGTTGGTCAACTTCTCCATGTGACCACTGGAGCAGAGCTGAGCTGCGAGTCCTGCTCTCCAGTGAAATGCTACGTAGAAGAAGATGATGAAGATGATGATCAGCTGATTTCCGGTTCCACCTGGTCAGCTGGGAAATGATGGCGCACAGCAGCAGCTATTCCCACACAAGAGGAGACGGAGGCATTTCAGAGGGCTGAGCCACGGTGGAGCTGTTGGGAAGCAGGGGAACAAATAACTGGGATTACTGGGAAGGAGTTGCCTGACTTTTAGCTCTGAGCTAATGATGCTAACATGGTAAACTTCAAACTTAAATATAAAATATCAAAATATGAAATTATTAAATACTGTTCAGAAAATGATCAGTGTTTTTAATTCAGAGTAGTTTCCATGTGAATGTGCTTTACTGGAGGCATCCATGTTTGTCAAAGAACACTACTGCCACCTACTGGTTTGTGACGTCACGGTGCGGTATCGGCTGTTGATCAAGTCCCAAGTACCGTGACGTCATTGCCGGAAGATGGCAGGAGGAAAGGGTTACTGTGTTTAGGCAAAAATGGCCGCTCCCAGACTCAAACGTATTAATTTTAGATATAAATAATGATCTGTTGATTATTCCTTGCTGACCAGACTTTTCCTTTAAACGTGCATAAAGATGGCGGTCCATGATGTTAATGTCATCAGAAAGTTTATAACGTTAGTCGTCCTACAGCCTGTAAAGGAAAAGACCGTTTTCCACACGGCAGCATCTGGACCGAAGATGATGGCAACTTTCACATGTGCTTCCACTAAGACACTAATTAAATGTTTAGAAAGTAGGGCTGAAACAATTAATCGGATTAATTGTGATTAACTGATTATTGAAAAAAAATCATCAACTAATTTAGTAACTGATTAATCGTTAGCTGGAGTGTAGAGACTGTGAAACATGCCTTTAGCTGACAGGCAACCCAGTTACAGCAGTTATTATACAAAAATTGCAACAAAAAAAAGAAAAAATATTTTGAATTTAAGATAAGAAAAATGTTTTCATGTGTCAATATGCTCAATCCAGAACTCCTCAAGTGAAAAAGTTTCAGTTCCACCTGGTTTCGTTTAGTAGAAAAAAAAAATCTTCTTTAAGGAACCTTTGGCTATCCGATTATTATTTGATTAATTGTAAAAATAATTAACAGATTAAGCAGCCCCACAAGACAGCGGGAATAATCAGCATAATCCGCGTCTGTTCGCTGTAGCAAAGTGTGAGCTCGCGTGGACGTTGATTTAGTTTCTGTCAGGCTGCATTTGCTCATTAGAGGTCCATGTAAGAAATTCAACGTTTGCTGCTTTGACCAGGGACTGCTTTATAATAGATTTGCAAAATCATTGTAAGTTGCAGCCCTATTAGAAAGCAAATATAGGCGTCAGATATTACCCATTAAAAAACAAGCTTGGTTCTCACTATAATAAAATTAAGTATATTTTCATACTACAGTCCGATTTCATCCTGTATGTGCAGCAAAACCGGGACAGTTTTAACGCAGGCATTTCTTACTCCATAAACCAGAGAGCACACACTGACCTCTAGTGGCACAACTCTAAAATTAACAAAATAGTAAGAAGCTCTGGGTTTCCACCTGTTAAGGCCTTCCATCTGACCCCAGCAGCCTTTAAAATGAATGGTGAAGAACACGACTAAATGCAGGGCATTAAAAATGTGGTTCATCCCAATGAATACTGTTTGAAAATCAGTGTAGTTTGTTTTTTTCTTCATTATGTCAAAAAAGTTAATAAACAATCCACTGGACTCTGTTTCCAAGTTTGAAGACGTTTTGCTTCCCATCTAGAAAACTTTCTCAATTCAAAATGTCAGAAATATCGTTGAGTTCCAGGCTTTATACAGTAGCTCAGCAAAGTTTTCATTTAGAAAACATGCAAATAGAAACGGACGAACGGGTCCACCCCTTTGGAATGAGGGTCATTTGGGTTCTTTTGTTAGCCTGTAACAGCCGATACCCGTCTATGTTTTTGAAAGGGGGTCGTTAAAGTGAGTTTTTGGCCTGGCTGAATAGGGGAGGTATTTTTTTTCCCCTGTAAAGGGGTCAGGTTGCGATGATAGCAGGAAGGGATCAATCAATCGCTGCATTGTAGATTTTTTGAAAGCTAAAACTGGTGGACTAATATTTGAGCTTTCAAAAACCTACAATGCAGCAATTGAGTCGATCCCTTCCCTTCCCGCTATCATTGCAACCCCAACCCCTTAACAGGGAATGTTCCACCTTAAAATAGCATTTCAGAGAGTCTAAATTTCAAAATTTTCCAGGTGAGGATACCCCTGGACTCCCTGTGCCACACAAAGCCTAAAGATGTGATACACCACGGTGTAAACTCTGAAATATTTCTTAGCTAAAAGCCTGACTGAGACACTAATAAAGTAAATATGCTTTCACACATTTTTGGGCAAAGAGTTTATAAAGACTCTGCTCTAAAGTGCAAAAAGAATTAAAAGCTTTTCTTATAAAAATAGTTGAAGACGTTGGTGTTTGGTAAGAAAGTGTCTCCTCACCTTATGAAGCTTTTGAAAGCAGCTGACTGAGGGTTGATGCAGAGGGGAACTCGACTCCCCTTTTGTTGTTCCAAAATAAACTGATGGATGATCTCTGTTTGGGGAAACAAACAAAATCAAACTTCAAAACATTTCCAATCAAGTATAAGGTCTCTTAGTGCCTCGATCAGAACACAACCAAACATGACCAAGTTACTCTGGGTTCTTTAAAAATACAAAAGTTAAGCAGAGAACTGGTTTATTCACAGGGTCTAGAAGAGGCTTTAAAGTAGGGCTGTCAAAATTAACGCGTTAAGGCAAGATGATTATTTCTGGAATAAACGGCATAATTGTTTTAACTCATTAACGCAGTCCCGCCCTGTTTTACCCACAATTCAATTGTCTGACATGAGCGAGATGGAGGAATCAGAAAAGAACCCGTTGGCCCGCTGGATAGACAGTTCGAGTATAAAAAAAACAAAGACGGGACCATAAATAAACATGTTGTGGTTTGCTCACACTGCAAGAAGGACTTTTCGTTTCACCGAAGCACCTCGAGCCTTAAACATCATCTTAATGCCAAGCATTCATTTGTTGAGGCTTCGACTTCAGCTGTTACAACTGACATGCGTCAGACCCTCACCGAACGCAGGGCATTAAGTAATGGTCTGCTTTACATTCAGAAAATGTTAAACAGTGAGTTTGGCTTAACAACTGGCTAAAAGATGAATAAATTATAGGTAAAATATCCTCATGTAATTGTTTAAAAGTCAAGTTGTTTGTTTTAAACGAGAAACGTTCCATTCACCCATCCTGTATTTACTAAAAAAAAAAGCAACGGCTAAGATGCCAAAATTGTTGAGAATTAAATTCTTTTTTTGGATTTGTCATTAATAAAAACTAAATGTAATACCCATCTTGTTTATCTTTCTGTTTTGAAAACAGTACACAGAAAATGTGTATTTTTTAGTAATATTTAGGCTAGTGATTAATCGAAATTAATTCAAGAAACCTTGTGATTAATTAGATTAAACATTTTAATCGTTTGACAGCCCTACTTTAAAGTAATCCCAAACGGGGAGCAGAGATCATTCTCAGATATCTTTATATTTTTACGAAACAAACAATAATGCCCTCACACTCAGTGGTAGGAGAAAACCTGCTGTGCCTTGAGACCCACTGAAGGGTTCTGAATAAATGCACATACAGAGTTATGATCCCAGAAAACTTATTTTATGGCAGCCGGAGCAGGAATAACTAAAATCAATGAATGCATCTTCAATCAAATAATTATTTTGTCCAACTTTTCATTATTATTAACAGACCAGAATGAATCTGGCCCCAAATACAGAACTGACAGGACCTCACAAAGCTTACCTTTGACTTGTCTCACAGACGTCAGGTTTTTCTCAAAGCCATCATCAAACTTGGAGTTTGTGACCGGTTCAAAGTCACTGGTATAAACGCGGCCAGAGGACGTGGTGTAGCAGCATTTGCACATGCATGTATGGTAGCGGAGTCGACCCTCGTCTAGGTAAGGGTGGGCCAGGGCATCCTTGGCAGAAATCCTCTTCGACTACAAACCAATGAATTACACACGTTTCATTTAGAGCTACAAAGTAATTCAACAAAGCAGTTCAAACATCTGCAGAACAACAACATTTAATTACATACAGTGTATATATATATACTTTTAACAGGAAAAACAACCTTGTCATGTTTTAAGTTCTAAGTTCTACATGGTTTTAAATAAAGATAATCTTCGGCGGGGATCCTAAAATCTCTGTCTCACCAGTAACACAGAAATCAAATGAATTCACATGAAGGTCTGACAGGGGCTTCAGGAAACCCAGTAGATCATATCCAGTCATTGGGACTGCAGGACTAACTCCTCCTAGTTACAGTGGGTAGTAGCTTGTAGTTTTTTCAGGCACTGATCACCTGATTTCAAAACTCGTCTGGATTTAAGCAGGTGCAATTTTGAAATCTGGTTAAGCTGTAATAGAACCAGGGGCCAGGGAAAGTGGATTAGATGGTGCACATTTTATTTTAAGACTCCTTTATTCTTGACAATCATTTTTCTAAAGTGGGCAGTGCAGGTAAATACTCTAGCCTTCAGTGTTCAATGGCATCTAAAAACAGCTGAAGGTTGGATCTTAAAATACCTCCAAAGATATCATCTGCCAGCAAGTATAAATTAATTCTGCATGGCTGAAAATCTCAAGTATAATCAGAACCATTTAGAGCTCAAGCTTGAGGTCATTACACAATGATTACAATACTCTCAATTTATTTTCTGTTGACAAAAGGATTCCGTTATTTGATTGTGCTAGCTTAAAATGCTAGGCTGGACAGAGTTCAGCTCTTGTTAAAAGGGAACAGCTGTCTATTGTTGTTCACATCAGTTCACTCAGCAGCAAAACCTACACATTATGCCTCATGAATAGCTTCATTCATGGCTGTCAGATTCCCATCCTCTCTGACCTGGCGTCACTAAGGGCCTGTTGTGGCTATTTATGTCATATTTTTAAAATTGTAAGTTACATTCATTTACTTGTTTCACTGGTAAGAATATATTTCAGTTTGGGACAGAAATCTGTAGTTTCTATATTTAGAATTGTTTATATTTCTTTTAAACCCTCCCATTCCTTTAAGAGATTCGGAACATATATATAAAGAGAGAGAGAGAGAGAGAGAGAGAGAAAAAGCTTCCTGGACGTAAAGCGAAACATCTTCAAACTTGGAAACAAAGTCCAGTGGATTGTTTTTTTACTTTTTTTGGAATGACTATGACCTCGATGACTGAGATTCTTTACCAGATCATAGGTCATGTTGATTCAAAGTTTTCAAAGTAAAAATTAAGAATATTTACCCTAAATTTGAGTAGGTAATTAAGATGATTTGCCAATGGAATGACTATATTTACTCCTAAAATAAGATGATTAGATAAAATGCACTTGACAATGCATAATTTTGCCTTATTTTAAATGTCAATTTTATTCCACTGGCAAAGTATCTCAATTACCTCATCAATTCAAGAAAAGAATACTTATTTTAAGGAAAAAAGTTACATACAGGGGTGTCAAGTCGCACGGCGGTTAGCGCACACGACCCATCTATGGCCTTAGTCCTCTACGCGGCCGACCCGGGTTCGAATCCGACCTGTGGCGCTTTGCCATATGTCACTCCCCCTCTCTCATACCCCCTTTCCTGTAAGCCTACTGTCGAAAAAACAAGCCACTAATGCCGCAAAAACTCAAAAAAATTAAAAATTACATACAGATTTCTATTTTTTGAAGAGTGTGAGCAAATTTTGAAGGTGAAATATCCATGTTCAACTATGCTATACAAAAAATAAGGTTTATATTCAATGATTAAATTATAAGTAAACTAAATCATCATGCTTTTGTTGCGTGTGTCTCATGGGAAGCACAAAAACTCATTACATGAAGGGATTGGGGTTCCAGGCAACCTGTATGAACCATAAACAGGTTATGTATAGTGGGAGGGTTGGTAGCAGCCCACTGCTCCCCGAGGGGATGGGTTAAATGCAGAGAACAAATTTCCCCATTGTTGGACAATAAGGCGATTTACATTACTATGGTTTACCTTAACCCAGGAGGAACCTGACAGACTAAGGCCCCGTCCACACGAAATCAAAACGAACACGAAACGCTAATATTTTCCAGAATGTTTGTCGTAAAGACGGAGACGTAAAATAAATGTGAGCGTCCACACGAATGCATGAAAACGCTGCAAAATGTATGCCAGGCCTGTAAGTGGCGCTGTGGTGCCAAAGCAAAAATAGGTGAAAATAGGAAATGTTGGGCATGCGCACTAATATTTATACATGGTTGCCCTGCGGGTCCATTTTGGTGGT